CTTGCCTACCGAAAATCGAAATTATACGGTATAATATGCATTGCTGTACTTATAAGATCCGTCAAAAAGCCAAAATCTCGCTCAAAACGGTGGTTAACCCTTCCCCCATGAGCATATTGTGAAAAATGGCCGTTTTCACTGAAAAGCCTCCTGTTACAAGTTCAAACTGCTATGAAACTATGAAAAATGCTTCAATACTAATCAAACTTGGCACAAATGTTGACTGGACCATTGCCTTTGTAACGACATGCTCAGTCTTAAATTTCCTGTTACCATGGCAAAGTTTAGTAAATGTCACTTGCCTACCGAAAATCGAATTTTTACGGTATAATACGCATTGGTGTATTTCTAAGAGTCGACAAAATGCCAAAATCTCGCTCAAAACGGTGGTTAACCCTTCCCCCATGAGCATATTGTGAAAAATGGCCGTTTTCACTGAAAAGCCTCCTGTTACAAGTTCAAACTGCTATGAAACTATGAAAAATGCTTCAATACTAATCAAACTTGGCACAAATGTTGACTGGACCATTGCCTTTGTAACGACATGCTCAGTCTTAAATTTCCTGTTACCATGGCAACGAGGGGACATCTCAAAATTGCCAAAAATCACTATTTTGCCTCGATTTTTCCCATCAAAATTTATTTCAAAGTGCTGCAACTGCTCAAGGGATTGAGATAGAGTCAAAAGCTTTTCAGCGTTGGTTAAACGTTACATTATGATCGACCTGGGGTCATTTTTAGCCTCTCACAAGTCCAAAATTTTCTTGGTGATGAGGGGGACTCCGCCCCCCTTCATACCCCCCTAACAGAAGGGGGCACATCCCCCTTCTGGCAACCCCCTGATGTATCTTTTGGATGGGGGCGGCGCCGAAAAAGTGCTCAATTTTTTAAGCAACATTTCTCAAACGAAAACTTATGTTTGGGGCCCAAATAGGACATTTTTTCACTATTTGAGGCCTAAAAAAGGGGGGGGTCGAAAGTGCGTTGTTTCGCGTAATTATGTGGTAAAGGGTTAACAAAAAATGATGAAAAATTTTGGAATCACCTAAAAACTAGTTTTTCCATGTTAACATGTGGTATTTCACCTATTTTTGGTGAAAAATTGTTGTTTTGTAACATTTATAATTTTTTAAGTTAACCCTTTCCCCCATGAGCATATTGTGAAAAATGGCCGTTTTCACTGAAAAGCCTCCTGTTACAAGTTCAAACTGCTATGAAACTATGAAAAATGCTTCAATAATAATCAAACTTGGCACAAATGTTGACTGGACCATTGCCTTTGTAACGACATGCTCAGTCTTAAATTTCCTGTAACCATGGCAACGAGGGGACATCTCAAAATTGCCAAAAATCACTATTTTGCCTCGATTTTTCCCATCAAAATTTATTTCAAAGTGCTGCAACTGCTCAAGGGATTGAGATAGAGTCAAAAGCTTTTCAGCGTTGGTTAAATGTTACATTATGATCGACCTGGGGTCATTTTTAGCCTCTCACAAGTCCAAAATTTTCTTGGTGATGAGGGGGACTCCGCCCCCCTTCATACCCCCCTAACAGAAGGGGGCACATCCCCCTTCTGGCAACCCCCTGATGTATCTTTTGGATGGGGGCGGCGCCGAAAAAGTGCTCAATGTTTTAAGCAACATTTCTCAAACGAAAACTTATGTTTGGGGCCCAAATAGGACATTTTTTCACTATTTGAGGCCTAAAAAGGGGGGGGGGGGTCGAAAGTGCGTTGTTTCGCGTAATTATGTGGTAAAGGGTTAACAAAAAATGATGAAAAATTTTGGAATCACCTAAAAACTAGTTTTTCCATGTTAACATGTGGTATTTCACCTATTTTTGGTAAAAAATTGTTGTTTTGTAACATTTATAATTTTTTTAGTTAACCCTTTCCCCCATGAGCATATTGTGAAAAATGGCCGTTTTCACTGAAAAGCCTCCTGTTACAAGTTCAAACTGCTATGAAACTATGAAAAATGCTTCAATAATAATCAAACTTGGCACAAATGTTGACTGGACCATTGCCTTTGTAACGACATGCTCAGTCTTAAATTTCCTGTTACCATGGCAACGAGGGGACATCTCAAAATTGCCAAAAATCACTATTTTGCCTCGATTTTTCCCATCAAAATTTATTTCAAAGTGCTGCAACTGCTCAAGGGATTGAGATAGAGTCAAAAGCTTTTCAGCGTTGGTTAAATGTTACATTATGATCGACCTTGGGTCATTTTTAGCCTCTCACAAGTCCAAAATTTTCTTGGTGATGAGGGGGACTCCGCCCCCCTTCATACCCCCCTAACAGAATGGGGCACATCCCCCTTCTGGCAACCCCCTGATGTATCTTTTGGATGGGGGCGGCGCCGAAAAAGTGCTCAATTTTTTAAGCAACATTTCTCAAACGAAAACTTATGTTTGGGGCCCAAATAGGACATTTTTTCACTATTTGAGGCCTAAAAAGGGGGGGGGGGGTCGAAAGTGCGTTGTTTCGCGTATTTATGTGGTAAAGGGTTAACAAAAAATGATGAAAAATTTTGGAATCACCTAAAAACTAGTTTTTCCATGTAAACATGTGGTATTTCACCTATTTTTGGTGAAAAATTGTTGTTTTGTAACATTTATAATTTTTTTAGTTAACCCTTTCCCCCATGAGCATATTGTGAAAAATGGCCGTTTTCACTGAAAAGCCTCCTGTTACAAGTTCAAACTGCTATGAAACTATGAAAAATGCTTCAATAATAATCAAACTTGGCACAAATGTTGACTGGACCATTGCCTTTGTAACGACATGCTCAGTCTTAAATTTCCTGTTACCATGGCAACGAGGGGACATCTCAAAATTGCCCAAAATCACTATTTTGCCTCGATTTTTCCCATCAAAATTTATTTCAAAGTGCTGCAACTGCTCAAGGGATTGAGATAGAGTCAAAAGCTTTTCAGCTATGGTTAAACGTTACATTATGATCGACCTGGGGTCATTTTTAGCCTCTCACAAGTCCAAAATTTTCTTGGTGATGAGGGGGACTCCGCCCCCCTTCAATCCCCCCTAACAGAAGGGGGCACATCCCCTTTCTGGCAACCCCCTGATGTATCTTTTGGATGGGGGCGGCGGCGAAAAAAGCGCTCAATTTTTTAAGCAACATTTCTCAAACGAAAACTTATGTTTGGGGCCCAAATAGGACATTTTTTCACTATTTGAGGCCAAATAAGGGGGGGGGGGGTCGAAAGTGCGTTGTTTCGCGTATTTATGTGGTAAAGGGTTAAGTCATCATTTTCACGAATGATCCGCCATATATTATTGCACAATTTTGCGTTATTTATTGCACGAACCGTGCGTTATTTTCACATTCCGGCGTTACTGGATATACACGGTGTTATTTACAAGTGACATTCACAGGGACGCTGATCATTTCCGCTACACTAGTCTAGTTTAATCAGGATGATAACGCTTTATCAGAAACTCGTGCTTACTTTATAAGCGGAGTGTTCTGTCCCATGATTCAAATTATCGAAAAATAAAATTTTTTTCAGTAGATCTATACAATAATTGTTTTAAATTATACAATATATATTTTCAAATATAGAACATACATAAAGAAACTTATCGCACACAAATATGTTTTATGATGAACAAATATTCAGCAGGATTGAATAAATATTATGGTATAGCATATTAAATTTACAATGTATACAATATTGAACAAAAATTTAATTTATTCAATGTTAAACGTTGCGATATTCAATAATATTGAATATCGCAACGTTTAACACGCCATATCTATATATATATATATTACTGCGCGCTGTACAATTGCAGTTGATTTGCAAACAAAGGTATTCGTAACCATTTTCTTTAATAATGCAATTAAATAAAAAGGTTACTTTTGCGCTTTTCGTGAAAGAATAAGATTGTTTATATTTCCACTCGACATGATAAAATGCCACATATTTTAATCGCCGTCCCAGCTCTTGAAATTAAATGTATGTTGCATTTTATCATGTTTCGTGAAATTATATCCCATATTTCACTCAAACGAAAAAATATCCTCTTAATATTTGATATATATGATTAATTCTATTTTATTAAATAATTGTAAGTCATAAACATTAATTTTGCCTTTTAAGTAAAAATATCGTCAAATATTTCCGAAACAAATTTTCCACAGCTGCAAAAGAAGACGACCTCTCGCATGCTTCTTTTTAAAGCAGCAAACCTGTATCCCTTGTTGAAGTTAATATTCCTGTCGTTACATACGATATAGTTTACGTTTAATTACCAGTTCGATAAAATATAAACAAAAAGATATTTTATTAGTTTTCTTTATGCATATAATACGATTCCGGATCCCTTCCGTCATACCGTTTTGGTAACCTGTGCGACGGAAATCGACGGAATATAACGAAGACGACGATTACCACTATTTATTTCAATAAATGTGCCTCTTAAGCATAAATCTATTTTGTGATGTTCAACCTAAACTAAACTATTGAAGTTACATTGACAGAAAGGGCCAAGTTTAACCCTTTACCAAGAAAAAATGAAAAGGTTTTGAAAACTTATTCTTTAATGTAGAAATTATGAGTATACAGACCTTTCGAATGATTTACAATATGAAACTGATTAATGAAAGATAACTTTGTAATTACATGTATTTATACATTTGCGTCTTATCAGCCGCCATACCTTTTGCCAACTATTCACAAGTTACTTGTATGTCTTATCAGCAATCTGTTACTATTAATAGATTTTATAACAATAACATACAACGTGTAGTCACGTGATTCTTACAAGAGCACAGGGAGAATCTGTTTATAATAAGATAAAATAATGAAATATAATAGGTCTCATAAGATATAAACAACCAAATAATTTAAATGTGACATTTCAAATATCATTCATGATTTATCAATCATAAAATAGCAACGCTTGACACTTAGAAAAAGTAAAAAAGTACCGGCAACTAATAAGTGACTGAAGATATTGCAACAAAATAATGGATTACCTCTTTTCTTTCAAATCTGAACTTTTTAACTGCTCCATTTTCCATCATGTGAACATACTTAATATGCGGAACGTGATGATTTCTTTTTAGATTTTGAAAATGTTCATGCAATTCATCTGTTGATACGTCAACATCTAATTGGTCAGGAAACTGGTCGATATACCTTCTTTGTCTTTTATCTGTATCTACGACCTTCACCTTAACTGAAAAGTAGTACTAAAAGCCTTGGATGTACAATCACTCTATGGCACAATGGGCACACATAATTCATTTTCCATAAGTATTTCTTACAAATTATGAAATATTAATAAAAACAATAAATTAAAATTATTAAATGTATCATTTTGATTAAATATATATATCTTAAAAAATTGATAGCCTTCAGAGTTATTTATTATGGATATTGATATGATTAAATAATGATATTTTGTTCTAGAACAATTTATTATCTACTACATATTGAAATGTCATTTGTGATCATGTTAGTTACTCACACTAAACCAAGGACATCCATAAGTAATTGTTCACGGTTTGTTGTCACGGTTTATACCAAATACTATCAACATAACTATTCATCGTTTACAGACATTTTATTGTGGACCAAATCACTTAATTAAATAATCAAAGCACAGAAGGCGCTGAAATTTATATGGTCTCAGAATGTCAGAAAGGTGATGGTTGTGAGATTATAAACCAATTTGTTTTTGTGTAGTGGCAGCATTGCTGTTTCCAGTGTTACCCAAACAAATAAAAACTAGAAATTGTCACAAAGTGCCGAATCCCCCCCCCCCTCCCACCACACACACGAAATTGTCACAAGTGCCAAATATCCCCCCCCACACACACACACCACATGCGCGCGCGAGTGCTTATTTAATAATTTTGCACATAGGATGATGATAAGCAGAATGCAGTTGTTTATAGATATTTTTCAAATATTTGTGAATTTTTGTCCTACATCAATAAAATAAATTAAAGTTTGGATTTGAAGTTTTCTTGACTTCTTTAAGGGCAATACGTTCTTTCTCCCTGATATTTCTGTATTTCTACTCAGTGAGATCTATCTATTTATATAGTGTCATGTTGATACCTTTCATAGTTCTGATTTAAACATATTGTATTGCCAAAAATAAGACATATACATACATGTAGACAGTTACAATACAATGACATGATATATTTGGCAAATGGGTTGACCCACAAGTTCTCTCAACATTAGCAACGGGTCTTCCCTGATGCAATAAATTACAATAACTTATTTTACAAGAATGACTATCAGTAAGATAGAAGTAACAAAACTCACACATAAATAGTACTTGGCTTTAAAATGATTTTAGGTAAGAAAGAACAATAAAAATGATTGGGTGTCAGTGATTTTCCTATGTATATAACAGACTCCGAAAAAAGGCCTCTTCCCAATTGAAAAATTCTTTAAAATCATGCAGTTTTCCCAAAAATCTGAACTTAAACCTGCTTTTTTCTTCCCAAATAAGCAATTTTAGCGATAATTTTTCCCAAAATCAAGAGGCTTAGGCCTCTTCCCAATTAAGCGAGAAAATCACTGGGTGTACATGTTCTCTAGCTTGAATGGTATTTTACGATGTTAACTGATTTTTATATATTTGCGTTACAATGACTTAGAAAACATGTACATTTGCCGAACATAACAAAAACAAAAATAGATTTTGAGAAAATGAAATATAGAAGAAAAAAATAGAAGAAGAAATGAAAGAATCTTTTCTATTGTTTTGCAAAACTGAAAGAAAAATACATTAATATTTATTGGGATTGTGCTGGTTTGTTTTCAAAATCAAAAGCGTTTGCTTACTTTTATGAAATGCTGAACAGTCAAAAATAGTTTATTATTATTTTCTAAAGATAACTCTTTGTTACCAACTAAAAGTAATTGGACATTTAAAGGGTGAAATTGCCTTAATTCGTTAAAAAGATCAATTCTCTCATTTCGATATTTCGGACAAGTAAACAAAAAAATGGTTAACATCTTCTATCTCATAACCGCACGAACAATTTGCATCCTGTGACAAATGATTGCAGAATAAGTGGAAATTTAAGTTACTGCATGCATTTCTCATTATGCAGTGTAAAACTGAGAGTTTTCTTTCACCTGTAAGGTACCATTTTGGAGTGTCTGTAGATCGAAAGGTTGATTTCTTTAATAGAGATTTAAAATGTGACAGTTTCTACAGATCTTGTTCATAGTTCTTTCATAGTTCTCATGTTATATCCTGGACAAAGTTCAAAGTATTTAAATGAACAAAGGGCTATAACTCCAAAATTAGGGTAGAAAGGTTAACGGTTCTTCCACACTGCACTTGTTACATCTATCTACCTACACAGTTTCAAGTTGATACCTTTTATAGTTCTCAGGTAATTTCCAGGACAAAATTCAAAGTGTAAAAATTAACAAAGGGCAATAACTCCAAAATTTGTGATGAGAGGGTTATGGTTCTTATTCACTGGACTTCTCAGTAAGTTTATATGGCTACAATGTTTTAAGTTGATACCTTGTGATGTCCCAAACAAAGTTCAAAGTGTAAAAGTGAACAAAGGGCAATAACTCCAATTTAAGGCAAGGCAGAGTTATGGTTCTTTTGCACCGCACTTTTCCTCATTTGTGAGCTCTCTACCCACAAAGTTGCTTGTTTATAGACTGATGTCCCGGACAAAGTTCAAATTGTAAAATAAGCAAAGGACAACAACTCCTAAATAAGGGAAGGCAGAGTTACGGTTCATTTGCAGTGCACTCCTACTCAATGATTATATATACCTACAAAGTTTCAGGTTGATACATCTTGTCGTGTCGTCCCGGAAAAGGTTTGAAGTGTAAAAATATGGGACAATATCTCCAAAATTAGGCAAGGCAGTGTGACAGTTCTTTTTGGACTGCTTTTCTACTCAATAAGATTTATCTACCTACACAATTTGAAATTGATATATCTTGTAGTTTTAGAGCTATATCCCGGACAAGAAATCTGCAACGGGTCGACCGACCGACTGACCACCAGCTGACTCCAGTATAGCTTAAGGTCTTCAGCGTACCCGTTTATATATATGACATGACGTGAACGCTGAAGATAACCCCGTAGGGAAAGTCCACCAATAATCGTGCCAGGAATCTGACACGCTCGTATTTATTTATCGAACATGCCACGAAGTAAAGTGAAGCATACCTTGATAAAACGATATATAATCTGTTGATAGGCCAAGGATGGACTAATAAAAATCTTATAAGGAACATAAACTACCTAATAGTTTCCGACAGGTAAAAATTTCGGCACTTGGCCGCCATATTGCCATAATGTTTGACCACGTGATTACGAGATTGACCTTTATGAACCCATGTGCCTCCAATATTTTTATAGATTACTTTTTTTTAAGATGTTGAATAAGGTTATTTACTGACTGTTATATTCAATAAAATCATATTTAAATACTTAAAAATTTATGAAAATAAATGAAAACATTATCTTGAATAACAATATCGAAATCAAATCAACAAAATGTTCTAAATATAGTACACAACTCTATTAAAATCTGTTCCCGCGAATGACGTCATACGAGGTCTCGCGTGGCACTTGAATGTCATGGCCGACTGTAGTCGGCGAAAATTGATGTTTTACAGTTAAATAGGCAATTTTAATGACGATATTAATATTTTATTACTTGAATTGGTATAGAACGATATTTAAATAATTGTTTTACCGTAAAATGCACAAGAATTGATCGGGTCAAGTGTATTTGCAAGTGAAAAACAAGAATAAATCAACTTATGTTATTCTGGTTAGGTTTCGTAACGGGTCTAATCCAAAACTTTAATGCCGCATCTGATGAAAAACAAAAATGTTAAAAAGCGGCTTATAAAGTTTTGGAAGCCAGAACTAACTCCAGTATACCCTCTTTAACTTCGTTTTTCTGAGGTATAATGAAAATAACATTTATAAGTAACAATTTGTAGAAAAAAATCCCACCTGTTGCTGGCTTCTCTACATTTCCTTGAGAATAGGGAATGGTTTTGGCGATGCACGACTGACGATTCAAGCTTATAACAAAAACCATTGCAAGGAAGATGTGATTTATTAACGAAGTCTTCATTTCTCCAGCGGATCATTTATAGCAAGTGTATCTTCTTTGTCAATTTAGATTCTGAAAAAGAGTTATAAGCTGTTTTTATTGTTGTATATGAATATTAGATTATTATTTTAGATACACATTGTACATGGTATGGAAGTTCAACTTCCAAGTATCGAATGAAAAAGCATTTATAAAGAAATAAACATTTCTTTTTAATTTTCTAATATACATAAATGATAATAACAGTTCAAACTGCGATTGACATTACGAAACTTCGGTAATCCCAGTTTGTTTATATAAATAAGATTTCTACATTATTTTTACTTGATTTATTGGAGAAGGAAGAAATAAATTATAAACGAAACTGTTCTGTTTCAGTTCGTTTTGAAGACGCAAAAGTTAATTTCTTTTATGATTTCCTCCACGTAGGAGAGCCAATGTTAGTATTTTTACGATTGATTATTTTATTAGTTTTATCATGAAGCTAAATATGAGATTTTTCGGGGGAAAAAAATCCTTAATAAACCCTTTATGATATTCAACTAATTAAAAAATAGTGATAATAAATTGACCCTCTATACCTGTAAAAACATACTAGGTACCTTGTTTTTTCTGGTATATAAGGTAATTTTTTTTTTATAATTATTTCTTTATCATAAAGAGTTGATCTAGGAGTTTTAAAAAAAAATCATTTTTAAAGGGATGGGATGATGGCAAAACCCTTTTAAAAGGAAACTTTATTATAAAATATAACTAAAAAAAGTCATTCCGTAGTTTACAATAAACATGGTCACTTAGGCGTTTGCAATATATTATGTAAGCATGCACAGAAGTTTAAAATTATAAATAGACTTCCTTGGGTTCAATTTAGTTAAAATTTTAAGTTATATAAATGTACGTAACGGAAATATAAACATTCTACAATCTATTCTTTAAAAGGTGTCATCGTGAAATTAATATAATATTAGCACGCTGTCAAAAGGCAAATACCCCACTATGTAAAGCGGAGGAAGTTTTACATTATTTATAATAAATGTGATTCATTCCGTAAAAAAGTGTTCACACACTATCCCAAAAAGTATTCCAAGCCCCATTTTCTAAATCATAAATACCTCCGAAGAATAACCCTCTTCCCGGGAAAACTTCCCTTAGAATAGCATAATAAAATGAGCTGCGTCACGACAAAACCAACATAGAGCGTTTGCGACCAGCATAGATCCAGACCATCCTGCGCATCCGCGCAGTCTGATCAGGATCCATGCTGTTCGCTTACAAACTCTATAACAAGTAGAGAAACTGATAGCGAACAGCATGGATCCTGATCAGACTGCGCGGTAGCGCAGGCTGGTCTGGATCCATGCTGGTCGCAAACCCATTATGTTGGTTTTGTCGTGACGCGGTAATATTTCAATTATTGAAATAGTTTCGCTCTCTCTATACTGGCATGCGAGCAGTTCCCGTACAGAAGCAGTACCCGTATTTTTCATTTAAACGCTTGATTTTTACTTGCATTCTTCAAAAATTCATTTCAAATCAAGCAGATACATAAACGAAACAAAATCTAAGTGTCAGTTCGGCAGTACGTATATAAAGTCTCATTTAAAATCACTTTCACCTATGCGTCGTCAAAACGTGACCTTGTTTTCTCTGGGGGATTCCGTTCTTGCGCGCATGCGCAAAAATACTTACACGTGAGGCTTGTTAAAGGGTTTTCCACCAGTACCACCTGTTTACAAATAAGTAGGCAATGTGATTAAAACTTGTTTATTATCTTTAATTATCAGAATGTTGACCAATATTACTATATATAATAATTTTATGGCTTTGATGCGTAAAATATCATGCATACAAGCATGCTATTGCATGTGAATGCTTTGGGGTAACGGTACCGGGTAATTGATACCCGCGTTTAGTCTACGCTCTATTTCCTGAATTACATCTATTTATCTCTTAGATAATGGTCTGTTCAACAATTGTAAATGAAAAATAGGTCCGATATAATAAAATTGTATAATTATAATGGGTTAGATTTTATGTACGGGAACTACTTCTCTTCATACAAAATAATGGATAACTTCGGTACCCCATATGAGGCCTCATAAGTAAGGGTTATTCTATGTTTAGAACATGATGGAATTTCCATGATTTGTGTGACGAGCTGAATATTGATGTGTAACATTCAAATTTTGGTGAGTGAGCGTAATAAAAAATAATGTTTAAGTAACTATGATTTTTGTACGGGAACTGCTCGCATGCCAGTATATAATCTTGTTATCTGCCCCCGTGTGAGATAATAAACCAGATTATATATATGGAAATGATTTTTTTTCGTATGTTGATATTTATGCTACTGAAAAGGGAAGATTTCCCAGTAAGAGGGTTTCATCGGGGGAGGGGGAATGTCTGAAAAATACTTTCTTACGAATGAATAATATTTAATACAAGAAGGCAACTTCCCCTAGACGTTTGCGTATGCTTGTTAAACTGTGTAGACAATTCTCCCGAACATTTGCCTTTTGAACTCTTACTATGTTATATGAATTTCACGTATTTGAATACAATCATTTTAAATAAGCATCGGTTGTCGTCCTGGTAATTTAATGTTAACTAAACAGTACAAATTCAATATCATTTAAATCAGTGATTTAAAAAGTAATTTTTATTCACATAATCTACTGTATTCCTTTTGTGGCCTACAAAAATGAAGAAGAAAAAACAAACAAACAAACGAAAATCACGCGCTTCCCTAGAAGTCAGTGTACCCGGTGTCGTACACTTTTTTAAGGAAAAATAAGAAAATTATTTTATAGTTAAAAATTCTTCTTATATTTGATATAATTTTGAAAATTACATCCTTTGCCCATAAAAACTGATGACCAAAACGTTTCTATCTTAAAAAGGTCATACTTCTAGGCGCACTTGATTTTAAGCAACGGGAATGGGCCAAATTTAATAAATAGTGGACTCGGTTCCGCACACAAGGCCATTTTATACTGACAGGTTATTTTACATCTAAAACATGTTTTATAAATTATTTAACATCTCTAAGTCCAGATAAGATATATTTTTTGCAAATTTTCAGGACTACAAATAAATTTAAAGCACATTCTTACTACAGTATACAAACATTTATTTCCACAGGAAACATGTAACAGCAATGGAAACATACTTTTTTACCACTTGTAGCTAGTAAAACAGACATAAAAATAATTATTGAAATTTTTTTTCATCTATTAGTTATGATTTGTTCGATTAAGAGTTTGGTATTATTTTAAACAAAAGAATCAAGGTGAAATGACTTGGCGTTTGGTAGTTAGAAGAAGTTAATTCATGTGCATACAGGGCCTATTTACCCTTCTTTGTTGTAGCCTGTATCAGGCTACTTCCCCAATCCAAATTACTACCTTTTTTCCCCAAAAAACAGTCTAAAATTCCCCTTCTGGCAAATATTTCCCCTTTAACTGAAGTATAAAACTTTCTAGTTTAAAAATAGATAATTGTTTTGTCCACTGAAATAACCCAATAGAGGGATACCTTGATTTAATACAATTGATGATAACTCAGAGCCTCAGTTTGAGTTTGCAACTTTCTAAAAACAGCATGGGAAATCCCTGCTGCCTTATTTTTTAGTGCACATGTGATTTGTTACAACAATATGGCGACCGATACGATGTCACTAATGTAAACAATGTCACAGAACAAGAAGAAAATACGATTGAGTGACGTTTGTAATTGTTTATTAAAAATTGGATGAATTGATGACCTTGTTAGTGCAAGCCCATGTGTCCGAGTAGCACAACCACAGGTTGCAGTATCAGTGTTTGGACACCCCACCCCTATCTGCCCGGGTCCTGTGCGGAAAGAAATACAGTAAAGAACATTGTAACATTAAAAACATTATTTTTAAACTTTTACTTTAATAATAAGCAAATAGAAATCTACATGTAGAACTATAAACAGAATAAATATTTCTTCGTGTACCTTTAATTCTGTCAATTTCTTTATCTCAATGTTTCAACTATCTTTATTTGTTATATTTTCTGTTATCTTTTCGTTACTTTATTAAAAATTCGTTCTATTTGTTTACATGACGTCAAAATGGTTTACATGACGTCAAAAAAGTAGGTTTTCCAGTAAAAACTGGGTTAATAGTGACGTCACGATATCTTAATAGTTAACAAAATGGCGGGATATTCTGTGCCTGGTATGAATTAACAAATCGAGGTTGAAAATAACATAAACCGTTTTTGTAGATTAAAAAAAAGTTCCCCTCGAGATATTTTTCTAAGATTTTTCCTCTAAAGTTTCTACTTTTCTTCTAAAAGCAAAGTTTGATTTCTCTACGACAAATCTTTGTTGTTTATTTTCCGACGCCATTCATATGAAGATGAACAAGAGAAAGCACGTGTCATGTTTTTAAAATGTACTTGAGGTTCTCGGGGTCGTTTCATGTATATTTTACAAAGCTGGATCTACAAGATGTAACAGTTTAGTTGCGACAGACTCTATATGATGCAAAACTTCAAAAACGTGAATAATAAGCAACAAAAACATCAAGTCACATGGAGTAGAAATTGCACTTACTTTTATGTTTTAAGCGGAATAGAATCCCGTTGAATTTCGAAACAGATCTTTCTACGACAAATTCACATTCGGAAGATTCCTTTATTGCCAGTCTCCATCCAGTTCCGTAAATCCTATTTCTGACTTCTGAATGACAATCATGATGACTCCTAATTTTAGGAACTTTAATCCAGATGAAACATTGCTCCATATGCAAAGTTATATCTGTTAGCAAATGAAATATGTTAACGAAACACATCATAATTCAGTATTCAAATTCATAATTTAAGAACTGCCCATCAAGTTTCTGTTCTAAAATCACAATGTTTATTCTCGGAAATGGATTGAATGACGAAAACAATTTTGTTAACATATGACGTAACAAAATGTATCGCGCTTTTTATAGATAATTCCGCTTTCGGAATTGTACGGTCGGTGGCATAATTTTAAGTGACATTTGCAAATTTTTTGTTTTTGTTTTTCACTTGATTTATTTTTTATATATATTTTAGCGTCTTTGTTTTAGCGTTTTCGAAAAGTAGTAAATCTAACAGTGAACATTACTCAGTATATAGATCTAGATACAATATCACCATGCACTATATTAGATCTGTATATAGATATGACCGAGTGAACATTGAACAGAATTTTGAAGCTCCTAGATCTATATATTTTTTTGACCGGTATGACTTGATCTAAATTACGCAATGGTACATTTTTTTCAAGTAATATTGTGTTGGGAGGCATGCAGCTGCGGTGGCACAGATGTCACATGTGTTTGTTTTTTATTTATCTCGTGCGCACGAGACACTATGTCATGGCCACGAGTTACTAAGTCATGGCGACAAGATAATTCAGTGGTGCGTACGAGATACTATGTCATGGCCACGAGTTACTAAGTCGTGACCACGAGATAATTCAGTGGCGCGCACAAGATACTATGCCGTGGTCACGAGTTACTAAGTCGTGGCCACGAGATAATTAAGTGGTGTGCACGAGAAACTATTTCGTGGCCATGAGATACTATGTCGTGGAAACGAGTTACTTAGTCGTGGCAATGAGATAATTCAGTTCTGCGCACGAGATACTATCTCGTGCCCAAGAATTACTAAGTCGTGGGAACGAGATAATTAAGTCGTGCGCACGAGATAATTGACAAATCAGATTAAACTATTTGTACAAATTTTCTGCCTGTCAAAGTGTCATTTATACAATTTTTTAATTGGACATTGATTTTACTTTTAGCGTTATTGTGACCCTGATCTTTTACCCAATGACATCAAAAATAATTAGGTGTCATCTACTGAAATCTTTTTAGGTTATAGACCTTTTAACAATACGATTTTTCCATAGCAACCGATGTTGTATTTCGCGCATGCGCATTCTGCGTAGGGCAAAAGCGCAATAACGATAGACTACATTTAGCGTACTTGAAGGCTATTAAAGACGTGATTATAGGTTATGTCACCAAGAAAACAGATTTTTTTTGATGAATTAAAGCGGCCAGTACTTCAAACGTGAATAGTTTTCAGTATCATTCAACCGGTACGTTTTAGTACCATGACATATTTAATCACATAAAATTATGAAATTATCGTAATTTAAGTTACTTTTTAATAATGCCATCAGTGTTTATTAATTTTGTGAAGTGACAATTAAATAGTGTACGTGGCGTGCATTTTAATGTTTTACGATAAACCGGATAAATTGTGTGTTATTTCATAACCCATCTTAACCTATCAAGAGTTTCAAACATTATTTAAATATATCTATGTGTCTTAAAAAGTTTCTGCTTGGCATCACAGTCAAGTCGGATAAAGGATAATATTAGGTAAGCTGAAAACTAAAAATACATTAATTATCACGTGTTCCGACTTATTTTCAGAATAATAATTAATACACCTCTATTTTAAATGTTATAAAATTTCTTTAGTTTTTATAAGAACAATTTTAACAACAATTAAATTGACTTCTCTATTTGATAATATATATATTTCGACATTTTTTACAACAATTATCTCATTGTCATGTCCGTGATCGTAAGGGGGGATTCTTAAACAATCGTCTTTTCCGTGCCTTTTTGTAGCAATTTGGCCACAAAGCTATATAAATGTATCTTTCATGCTTGTGTAAAAATCTATTTTATATGATTTTCTAATTTTTACTCGGAATTATCAACGACCTTCTACTACATTTCTGTTGTAGGGCAACGCTTTTTTGTCCTACGCAGATTGTACATGCGCGAGAAAATACTGCTTCCTGTCAATTTTTCATACGTAAAAAGGTATATATAAACCATGGCTTTTTTCTTCAAATAATTCATCAGACAAGGATTTTATATGAAGTGTCATTGACCTCAAACATCCTTAAACATGGGCAATGTCCCTGTCAAATAAAATAAACCAGAACTTATTCATTCTCAAGTTATCGTATAAACAAGGTTATCAGGCCGTTGAATTACAAACTGACCAATTCTATCTCAGGATTGTCCAAGAAGGGCTATAACTTTGTAAAAATTAATATCTGATTTATGGGCCTTGGAAGGTGACTTTCTAATATAATCATAAAGACATGTATCAAGTTTAAAGTGAATATTTTCAGTAATTTCGAAGATGAATGATGCATGTTAAACTTTAAACAGGAATTTAAGGTTAAAGCTTAAAAAATTCCTATATATAGTATAATCTGATTGCTTATCTTGTTCCCACCACTGAGTAACTCGTGGCCACAACATAGTAGCTCGTGCGCATCCCTTTATTATCTCGTGGCCACGACTTAGTAACTCGTGGCCGCGACAGAGTATCTCGTGGCCACGACATAGTATCTCGTGCGCACCACTTAATTATTTCGTGGCTACGACATAGTATTTCAGGCGAAAGAGATAAATAAAAACACGCAAATGTCACATTTGTGCCACCGTATGCAGCTGTCTATACTTAGGAAATAGATACCAATTCTGAGTGCATTGTTTAACAAATAAAACATGGCCTTTCGGGCAAAATTCAAGTTTACGGACTGGTTGGTCAGAATGAGAAAGGTAAATGCGCTTCGGGCAATATACCTTTCGAGATCTGACCACTCAGTCCGTAAACTTGAATTTGCCCGAAAGGCCATGTTTCATTTGTTATACCTAATCTAAGGCCCGTACTTAATCTCAATCTCGACTTAAACTTACGAAAGGTCGCCTCAAGTAACGTTGGAGTAGACTTACGGTAAGTAACTGACAATGTGAAAAGTGGTATTCGTTTTGTTTACTCAACCTTACATCTCGTGAGTGAGACTTCAAAAGTTGACCGATCAGTTTTATTGCATAACATCACTCAATATACATTGCAAAGTGTAACCATGTCGTTTAAAAGAGTGTGTATCACCGAAGTGGGATGTTTGTGCTAAAAAACTACATTGTAATTATTAAAAATCTTAATATAAAAGAAAAAAATAACGATTTTAAATATATGTCCGATAAAACAAAAGCATGAAAGCATGAGGAAAGATTTAAAGAGAATTCAATAGTTGTCAAGTAGTAAATGCCAAAATAGCAAAATTATGTTAGAAAACCTGAAAGACAGGACGAAAAAAGAAGCTAAAGAAAGTAGTGAAAGGCTTATGACAGGCATTTAGAACTGAAAAATTACATTTCAATAGCGTTGACTTTATTTTGAAAGTAGCATCCAATTGTTTATGTCAATGATTTTTTTTACAATACACAATTATGTTTCCTTTTTTAAATCATCTAATGACATTTTAAAGGCCCATTATTCCTAATAAATTCTATCAATTTTATTTCTCCAATTTTCAATGTATAATCATATAGCATTATCTTTTATATAGAAGTCAAAATACTACATGTTCTGTTCACGTTCAGCGCAACTTTAAATAGGTTTTAATTTTTTTTCTGAAGAATTGAAATAGAAAGAGGCATAACGTGCCTTTAACAAGACTGTTTTATTTATATAAACCTAATCTTTTTAATTTCTTTAATCAAATTCAACGATTTTGTACATACCCCACCCCCCTCCAAACAAAACAAAAACAAACAAACAAAACAACCCTGTTTGATTGTGATGCTGGAATACCTAACGACTGAAGCGGTAAATCATTATTCAGCTGTTATTAAAGTTAAAAACTGGATGTAAGTAATAAAACACCATACTCGTTTAGTAAATTGTATTTTACATAAATCATGCTAAACAAATGTTCAAGATATTGGTTTGCTACTTGGATTTTGTTTGTTGTTTTTTAATTAAAATACTCAGAAGGACTTCAACGCTAACTTTATGTAATGGTTATTCATGACGTCACGCCATGAAGATAGTTTTTCTGTCATGTTTCCTTTGAAATATCTTCAAATATATAGATTGGGAATTCTATGTCAAGTCCAAAATTCAAACAGTGTGATATAACTTGTATCTAACTGTTATACATATGCCAATATTTAGACGCATACGACAAATCATCCGACGACTTGAGTTAGTCACATTGACAAACACAGGAACAGTCATTTTCATGGATAAAAGGAAATTCAAGAAATTTGAAATCATATAAATTAATTTCTTTTTGGCATAAGTACTGGTACCCCGCGAGGTGAATACACTCTTAATAATTTATACTACAATGTACTTGCATCACACTGGGTACAGCCCTTTGAAAATCAAATTTTTTGATAAAATTCAACTTCTGACATAAATTTAATGGGATCATCTCTATCCCTAAGTATCTGTTTTTCAACATTTATTTTCTAAAATACTGTCAGTTCACGTATATGATGCACTTAAATGTATATGGGACGAAATTAATTCAAAATCAATACTCAAAACTAAGTGGTATTCAGTATTATTTTATCGAGGACACCTCAAAGTAGCCCTCTCCTAATCTCACAGATTCTCAACTTTCAGTTCACTCGACACTTACTTTATAACCTGAATACCACTTTACTGAAAGATGAGGGCTGTCTTAACCGTTAGGCAATTATATGGGATTTACTCATTGAGTGTCGATTCTGAATACGGACCTATGGCCTATTTTCAAAGGAGTGATCACATTTTATACCCGAAATGATACAAGTAGTATATGAACTAATAATAGTGTATTCGGCTCGCGGGATACCAGTAATCATGCCAAAAAGAAACGAATTTATATGAATTCAAGTTGGAAATTTCTTGAATTTCCTTGTATCCATAAAAAAAGCTGTTCCTGTGTATTTCAATGTGACTGTCGATGATTCTGGACTCAAGTCCTCGGATGATTTGTCGAATGCGTCTAAAT